AAGGGCCGTAAACGACCGTCGGCACGCGTACCGGGAGCGCCGTCCTTGTCGAAGCCGGAGAGTCCGCTCGGGTAATACTTGTCCAGCACCTCGGGCGGTTGCCAGTCGCGGACCTGGTCCACCTGGTACTTCTCGCGCCAGCGCAATGACTGAAACATAACGAGGCAAAAACAGTTATGTGGTGGGCCCGATCCGGTGATTGAACCCTTATTTGCGGTCCACACGAAAAAAAATAAAAAAAATAGTTTGGTTGGTGAAACTGAACTGGTGGTCGTGTTCAGTCTGCCTCCTGAGTCATAGGCATTACACCCAGAAAAATCGTTTCTTCTTGCAAGTGCAGGCTGGCTCAAGATCAAATTTACTCTTGAAACAATTTGATATTTTCCTTCGAATAAGAGCAAAATCTTATTTCAAAGACAATATTGCCCCAATTCAATGGTGTCAGCTTGCACTTGAATCAAGAAACTATTCTGGATGTAGACGTTTTGACATGCTGGCTGGGAGCCTCGACGCTCCACCCAAACAAGTCGTATTATACATCAGAACGTCCTATAGCTCAGGGGAACACTGAACATCACTTTAGTTACAACAGTCAAATATTTTGGCCGTGCTGCAGCATTTTTCTCAGTATGTATGGTAACCTTACCTCCCTCAGCATCTTCTCAGCGGCCGCCGCGTCCCAGTTTCGCGCTGCAACAGAAAGCGATCGGTAAAAAGTGGGTAGAAAAAGCAGGCGAGAGTTTGTCCGAGCCCTTGGTCTATATTTGAATTGCATGAATGGTATGGTCAAATTATAAGAGTCTCGTCGTAAATGAGCTTTACTTTGTGTGTACCCAGTCGAATGCAGATGTTGCAGCTTGTCATAAAAGGGAAAGGAGTATAAAAAGGCGAGTGTCTTTAATGGCCAGTAGTGTGACACGCCCCTACCGGGACTCGAACCCGCGAACACGGCACTTACCTCTTAGCCATCGCAACAGAAACTGGTCGTCATGGTGCGGCTGCATCACGTCTGACATGCTCCGTCGGAACTGAAAAGAGAGGACATTTGTTTTCAATTGATGTATAGATATACAATATGTCGAGTTTGTTGAATGAGTGGAAGATGGTCTTTAGCAATGCAACAAATAAATTACACGAAAAAAAACAACTTTGTTGCGAGGATCAACTATGTTTTGTAGGCGAAATTCAATATCTGGATCGGGAATCCGATACCCACAACCAGGAGTTGTGGAATGTGGTTGAATTTAGCCTACAAAACAGAATTAATCCCCACAACAAAGGCTTTTTGTTTCGTGTAGCTGCTCTACGTGTTTAAGTCGGCAGTTCTGAATGACCAGCAAAATGTTAACTTTTTAAACTGCAAGTGTTTAACTGGCGTGCACATGCACGTGCTCAACACTATGCTGCACACTTTTAAGTGTTTGACAGGATATTTGAATACTTCGAAGTGTTCCACAGTAAATTTGACCATTAGATTTGTGTTTGGCCAAGTGTGCAGAATTTAGACGTTTACAAAACGTTTAAAATGTGCACACCACGCAAGTGTGTAACTTGAGTTAACCACGTCTAAATTCTGCACACTTGGCCAAACACACAGTTATGATTTTAAACATTACATGGTGCGAGGGGGAAATCACTTGGTGCGCAAATTATGCACACTTGTTTTACCAGTGACCCACTTACTCTCGACTTACTCTCACTCTCTTTGTGCAGCTCGTTCTATGGCTTAGACCTCGTCCGCTCCTTCGACAGCTCGCAATGCATAAGGCTATACTTTTCGAACTAGGCCGTCAGTCCTTTCCCCACCGCCTTTTACAAAACCACGACGATCATGCCCTGGGCTGCCGCTGCTGCGTCATTTCCTATAGCTCGGGCCATCCGATACACGTACACTCCGATTCCATACACGATCCTCCGATGAGGGTTCAGTCATTATAGGGACCGGCGTTTCCGCGTCGGGCTAAACGAGCACGTACGCGTACACTCAACACATGGCCTGTTGGGGCAGCCGCAGCTTCTAGCACTATTATTAGTATTATGTTCTTAACTCCGTGTCTGTCTAGCGCAAGAGCGGCGACCAAGGCTTAACCGACCTTTCTTTTGCATCACTGTTTGACACTATCCGGTTATAGTAGTGATTTTACTACGTCAGAGGAAGAGCGAGAGACGGAGGGTGTGGGAGGGTGAGAGGGAGGGAGGAGGGGAGACAGAGAGAGCACCTGCACCGTCTACTGATGCACAAGGATGGAAAATAGTAAATAATTCAAATTAAATAATGTCAAAGCCACTTTTGTGTCACAGTCATCTTGTATGTGAAGAGTCCTAGTTTCGCATATGTCAACCTGAAAGTTGTCCGATCACCTGCCGTTGAGTTAAGTGTTTGATTATCACTGGAGTAATAAGCTTCGCTATCGCTCAGCCAATTACTAGGTAGATGTATTGTTAGTAAGGTAGGGTAAGGGAAGGGGCTTGGAGCGAACCTCAGCCAGCCACTCACTCAGACACTATTCCCCCAGTGCCAAAGAAATTGTTTTCTGCTTGGTTCTTTGCCCTTATCGAGAATACAAGCAATCTGAAACCTTAAAGTTACTTCTATATTCTTTATGGTTAGTCAAAAGGTCTTAAAGGTATCATCTACTAAAAAGTACAATATTTTGCCGTGTAGTAGTACCGTAGCCCCGCTTCGCTTAGCTTCGCTCGGCCAGTGAAAACTTTTGCTTTGCGGTCAGCGCGCCGTGCCAGACCGACCAGCACCAGGAGGAGCGGGGAGGGGAGCCAGGTGTCCGAGAATTTCAATCTGGTTGCTTGCGGTATTTGAACCTATCGGGTGCATTTATTAAACGTGCTCATCGTCACAAAAACAAAATCGTGCCTGATCCAAACTATTTTCTAGATTTATTTTGGGCAGTGCGTGAGTAAGAGATAGAACTCCCGCAAGACACAAGAGATACCCCGTGACCCACATCTAGATTCTCTAGAG